TTATTCTGTGAAAATGCTGGAATGTGTTGGCGGGAAAACCTGGTTTTCTTCTGGCTTATAATTATAACTAACTAGACACAATTACTGATCCAAACATACCACTATATACTTTACTTCAAAGCAACACACTCTTAGTTACTATTGCCATTACAATCACCATCATACCTCAGAGTCTTTATGAAATCTTAACTAGACACATATGTACAATTTTTGTCTGTGGGGAGGTGGGAAGAAAAACGATAATTACCAAAGAGGAAAGTGATATTTATTCTGTACAATACAGAAATGTGGCACAAGGCCGAAAAGGGATTGGGGAAATGACGGTCTTCTTCTGTCTTAACTATAACTTAGCTAGACGCAAGCACTGACCCAATCGTACGCAACAATATTCCGTACACCAAAACAACACATTCATTCGTACCTTTCTTACTACAACCACCATAATACCTCTTTGTCTCTATGAAAATACTAACTAGTCCCCATATTTACAATTCGTTGTCTGTGGGTGGGTGGGGGAAATAAAACAACAATTCTAAAAGTTAACCCCAATGAGTATTTACAATATGCATACAAAAACTATTTACCAAATAGGAAAGAGCGTCAGAACAATTACCATGAAATAATTCATAGAAAATGCATAGGAAGCCACGTTACGACGGTTAGAAAGTGACTGAAACCGAGATGCTCGGTCAGGACCGATAATATTTCAGACACGTTTTTGGATGTTATCACGAGTCTCTATACAACAGACGGCGGGAATTTTCTATGCGTTGAAGAATGGTAGATAAAACTTTTCTAACTTAAAGTGCCATTATCGTTCTCACGAGACGCAAAACCATGAATCAAAGTTGTTTGTCAGCAGCCATAAATCTTAATAACGAAAGTCTGCTCGTTAAACTGAAAATCGAATCTTGCTGTGCTGTAACACTCTCTGCCGCCGAGTTGTGAAAAGCATACTGGATCAAACGCTGGAGACGCAATTTCAGACCATTTTCTTCAAGTTTTCTTGAGTGCTCTGGCCGATAGACTTGATACACATTGTTTAAAATAAAAACGGTTGAGACAGCAATATTCAACAGATACTAGAGTTACAAAAAGTGTATATTTATTGTATTTTTACCGACAATTTTGGGTGAGGGCCGAAGATGAGTTGGAGGTTCCGTCAAGAAACCTGCTCGTTTTCTCTAAAAGTGACTAAAAAATGGAATCCAGGCTGGCCAGGTTCACGCGAACTAGGTTCGCGTCTTTCATCCAACTTTCACCGAAATCTGCCGATGTTAGCCATTGGCAGATTTCGGTGAATTTTCGCTTTCTATCAGTTCTGATCTTCATCCTGAGCTGATGACTAAAGAATCTAACCCGATGCTAATTCGAATTACTTTCATACCTCAAGATTCCATCTATCCGTGTCCTCTACACGACCATCGTTGCCACGGTTAGTTTTATAAGTGTCACCATTGAATATCCTACACTTTCTTAATCAGATTCAAGATCCATTCATTCGTTACAATTTACTCATTCATCAGAAGAACACATCCCTCTTCACACAATCTTACATTTACAAAATCCCACATACTCAGGGGGGGGGGGTTACTAAACCCCAACGATAAAGATTTATTGATATTTACAATTTACGTTTTTTATTTTATTATTTTTCACATTCTGCCAATGGGGAAAAAAATCAAGATGTTTACTCGAGAAAGTTGAGGGAAGGGAAAAGTAAATTGTGGAGTGAGAAAAAAAAAAGTCAAAATAAAAAGGACTTAAAAAGCAAACTGGGAAAATTGGCAATCGCGACAAGGAGAATAACAAAAAAGATCGCCTGGAACAGTAATTACTCACATTAGCAATGAGAACTAAACGAGACAAAAACCGGAAATTAAGGCTGGCTACTTTCCCGCGAACCAGGCTCGCAACTTTCACCCACCTTTCGCCTAAATCTGCCCATGGAAAACGCTTTCTTTCAGTTCTGATCTTCATCCTGATCTGATGCCTAAAGAATCTAACCAGATGTTAATTCGAATTACTTCCATAACGTATGTTTCGATCTATCCGGGTCTTCCACACGACCATCGTTTCCACGGTTAGTGTCGCCATTGAATATCCTACACTTTCTTAATCTGATTCACGACACATTCTTTCGCTAGAATTTACTCATTCATCACAAGAACATATCCGACTTCACCCAATCCTACGTTTACAAAATACCACATAGTCATGGCGGGTGCTACTAAAACCCAATGATATTAAGATTTATTGATTTTTCAATTTTTGTTTTTTATTTTATTATTTTCCACATTTTTTTACAAAAATATGAAATTTATGTATCACGAAATTTGATTTGGGCAGGGTGATACTTATAGCGAAAATAAAAACAACCACATATTCAAACTAAAACAAGAATATGTTAGGAGGACCTGGCCGCCCCAGAGAAATTAGTGTGGGTGCTGTATTCTGCCGATAGGAAAATATCAAGATATTCACTCGATAAAGTTGAGGGAAGAGGAATGTAAATTGTGGGGTGAGAAAAAACAGTCAAAATAAAAAAAAAGAATTTAAAACAAACTGGGGAAACTGGGAATTGTGACAAGGAGCATAATAAAAGAGATCGCCTGGAACAGTAATTACACACATTAGCAATGAGAACTAAACGAGACAAAAACCGGAAATTTTCCCGCGAACAAGGCTCGCGACTTTCACCCACCTTTCGCCTAAATCTGCCCATAGCAAACGCTTTTTATCAGTTCTTCACCCTGAGCCGATGCTTAAAGAATCAAAACAGGTCCTGATGAGAATTCCTCCATCCACGTGCTCCACACCACTCCCCTTGCCATGGTTTGCTATATAAATTTGGATGATAGATTCTAGTGAGAAAATATTGTAGTACGACACAGTGAACCAACTTTCCTCTTAGAAGAACTAGAAATTGTTAAAATATGATCTTTCCACTCCATGATAGCAGCAAATGTTAACCCAAGGAGGCGAAATATGCCACTAACCTGGAAGTTATTATCCGCCGTGCTGATGGCCTGCATATAAAATGCGTTTGATAATATCCTGAATAATACTGGAACAACGAAATGTTGATTTTTAAAAGTCAATAGATTTTCAAGAAATGTGAACTCAATACTTATCAAGTTTATGGGAATATTGTGACATTTAAGTGTGAATATTAAGTGTGATAATGAACTGTGTGATATTGTGACGATATTACATATAACTGGGTATGTGTTTCAGAAAGAATTTTGGAGACTACTGCCGCAGTTTTGTTTCTGGCCCGATTCGGTTGCGCAGCAAATTTAATTTTATAGCTTTTCTTGAGACGAATATACCAAAGCTGGTCTCCTTAGTTTTTTTTTTTCTTAAAAATTAAATTAGACGCTCTTACACAGGAGAACGTTTGTTTTTTTCTTTCATAGTATTAAATAGTACATTTCATCTGGAGTGTATTGGCTACTTTTATTGTCCCATGTAGAAATATCTACCGACGACTTGTTAGAAAATGAGAGACAGAAAATGAGTAAGAGCTGGACTTCAACTGCGGCGTTCTTGGTGATTTTAAGCCAGTGTTCTTCTTAGATGGATGTGACCACATTTATTGCACGCTAGATTAATTTTTTAGCAATATTTTCGGGAGCATTAACATCAATATCAATTAGAGTATATCCCTTGAGTTTTTCATGCGCAACACGATTTTGGTGAAGTTTACCATGCAATGCTTCATTAGTTTTTCTCAATTACCATTGTGTATTGTTTCCTTGTCGTTTTGCATGTCGTAGGGCATATTCACCTTGTTTCGGTTGCAATCTTTTTTTATCTCAAAGACCAGCGCAGAATCCGAAAATGAATTACAGTAATAGCATCAAGAATCTACTGAGAAATACGAGAAAAATGTATGCATTTTTACCTTATTTTGTTTATACAGATTTGTTGGCAATTTTAAGGTCATACAATGCATTCAGTAATTGGTTAAGGTGAATCTTCAATATCATTATTTCGTTTCTTGTAGAAGGAAAATATCCTAGAATAAATGTTTATATTCAAAAGGTGTGTGACACTGAAATATATTTTATTTTATTTCATGTTTTTACAATTCTCCATCCAAAGGCCCAAGAGTCACACTAGGTAGCGGGTTACCGAATCGGATTGATGATTGGACCTAAGAGGAAGAGGTAAGAAGAGGAGGAGGTAATAAATGCAAATTATGAAGGTTAGAAAAGAAAACAACTGACTCTAAACTTGAAGAGGTTAAAAGTATATAGATTGTGGAAGTATTCGCTCGGAAGTCTGTCCCCCTAAAAAGCATTTCTTGGGAGTAAGCTATCTGAATGGAACCTCGTTCTTACTAATGGAATATGAAATTAGAGTAGAGCAGCAGGACGCCCGCGACTTTTCGCCTGTGGGAAAGGGGTTGTAGAGTGAAAAATAATTAATCCTCACAAGGCCGGGTTGACGCTTTTGTAACATGTGGAAAGTGAAGACTGTGCAGCTCCAGCCTAGATATGGTAAAATTGTAGAACATTTCAAAGGATTTCTCTTTTGTCTATATTACTCTATCCTGTTGTAATTCCTTGTATTTCTTCGAGAATTTGCCAGTCATTTAGCACACACGTAACACCCTGACAATGCCTAATAAATAATAAACTATTTCGTTTTGATCGAAAGGAAACACGGAGAAGACATATCAGAACCGCTGTTTGGTTTCAGTAAACAAAAAAAGAATTGATTAATTTGTTTTTTACGGTTTATTTAAATCCAGAAAATATTTTTTTCGGTTTTTTTGTTTTTGTTTTTTTTTTTTTTAAAAAAAAAAAAAGAAAATAGGGATTTAGTAATAAAAGTGTTAGTAATTAAGCGACAGTACAGGTTATGGGAGAAGAGGAGGATTCATACCTTCTTTCTCAAGAGTATTTGCGCGTAAGTGAATGTAACGAATTGAAGTCGGCTCTCCAATGAACAAATGCGAGCTATTGTCCATTACACCACCCACAAATCCAAACTTACTGCACCTGGTATTCCCAAGGGGTCACCTTTCTAGGTACTGGCCAGGCTCGGTGTTGATTAACTTCGATGATGGTACCGGAACCGGTGTTTCAACGTGATATGGCTGAGAGAAAGAAAGAAAGAAAGAAAGATATACGGGAAGAATGACAGAAATAAAGAAAGAAATAAGAAAGAAATAAGAAAGAAAGAAAGTGGAAATAAAGAGAGAGAGAGAAAGAAATAAAGAAAAAAAGAAAGAAACAAACAAACAAAGAAACAAAGAAAGAAAAAATAAAGAAAGTGGAAAGAAAGAAAGAAAGAAAGAAATATGGGAAGAAAGACAGAAACAAAGAAAGAAACACAGAAACAAAGAAAGAAAAAACAAAGAAAGAAGGAAGAAATACGGGAAGAAAGACAGAAAGAAACACAGAAACAAAAAAAAAGAAAGAAGAAAGAAAGAAAGTGGAAAGAAAGAAAGAAGGAAAGAAAGAAAGAAAGAAAGAAAGAAAGAAAGAAAGAAATACGAGAAGAAAGAAAGAAAGAAAGAAAGAAAGAAAAAAATACAGGAAGAAGAAAAGAAAGAAAGAAAAAGAAAGAAAAGAAAGAAAGAAAGAAAGAAAGAAAGAAAGAAAGAAAGAAAGAAAGAAAAAAGAAAGAAAGAAAGAAAGAAAGAAAGAAAGAAAGAAATACGGGAAGAAAGAAAGAAAGAAAGAAAGAAATACGGGAAGAAAGACAGAAAGAAACACAGAAACAAAAAGAAGAAAGAAAGAAAGAAAGAAAGAAAGAAAGAAAGAAAGAAATACGGGAAGAAAGACAGAAAGAAAGAAACACAGAAAGAAAGAAATAAGAAAGAAAGAAAGTGGAAATAAAGAGAGAGAGAAAGAAAGAAAGAAATAAAGAAATACAGGAAGAAAGAAACAAAGAAAGAAACAAAGAAAGAAAAAATGAATAAAGTGGAAAGAAAGAAAGAAAGAAAGAAAGAAAGAAATATGGGAAGAAAGACAGAAACAAAGAAAGAAACACAGAAACAAAGAAAGAAAAAAGAAAGAAAGAAAGGAAGGAAGAAATACGGGAAGAAAGACAGAAAGAAACACAGAAACAAAAAAAAAGAAAGAAGAAAGAAAGAAAGTGGAAAGAAAGAAAGAAAGAAAGAAAGAAAGAAAGAAAGAAAGAAAGAAAGATATACGGGAAGAAAGACAGACAGAAAGAAAGAAACACAGAAACAAAGAAAGAAAAAAAGAAAAAAAATAAGAAAGAAAGTGGAAATAAAGAAAGAATGAAAGAAAGAAAAAAGGAAATAGATAAGGAAAGAAAGAAAGAAAAAAGGAAATAGATAAGGAAAGAAAGAAAGAAAAAGGAAATCAATAAAGAAAGAAAGAAAGAAAGAAAGAGTGTAGATAGAAGAGATAATGCTCTTGTTTGTTTAACGTCTGCTTCAGTGAAATGAAAAAATACCTTGTTAATATAAATATCACTTGCGTAAATAAAGCAATGAAAGCAAGATGAAAGAAATACGAGTAAAAATAATGAATAATTATTATAAATGTTTCTTCTATTTAACATTCCAAATAATATACCATATTTTTCTCCGGGACCGGGCACCTCTCAGTATTTTGTTTTTGTCAATCGGCGTCTCTGTCCAAAGACTGAGACACAACAGAACCGCACTCTGCCCGAAGGCACTACGTAAGCAAACTACTGTTAATAATTCTCTCAAACGAATTAAATAAGAAACATTATGAATATCATATATTTCATAAGTTTATTAATTCCTTATTCTACATTCTTTCCACAAGGAACCAAGGAGTTGTTACGGTTTTTTGTGTATATAATACATATGACTAGTGAGCGAGTCAAAATGACTTAATTCCCTTTATAGTAGACTAATAGAAGGTTGACCAATCAGAAGCCGCACAACACTATATCCGTCGTGTATAAAGGCGGCCATCTTTGTTTTCCTACCGGAATGACCAGGGGCAACTTCTCAGGCGAACATGACAGACGGAATAACTACGCTCTGCTACTCTGCTGAGATATTCACTGCGAACCTGCACTACGCTTTCCTACTGTCTCCGAAATATTCACTGCCAACCTCTGGATTCTATACTCGAGGACGACCGTCATGAAAATGTCTAACAGGAGTTATTTGGAGTGAAAGCAAATGAGAAGACATCACTGAAGGGAAAGGACAATAAAATAACGGGAAAGGAAAACATTGAAAAGATTTTGAAGAGTATACGTAGCTGTCAAGAAGGAATCGGAAGTGTGTTCAACAGGCGAAAAGTCAGATTTTTAAAATAAACGTTATTTTCTCATTTGTTGCATCTAATAATTCTATGAAAATTTGTGAAACCTAGCTGGCAGTCTTTCACTAATTTAAATTCATGCAGTCTAGGCACCGAGGAGGAAATTAATCAAAACCTGTCTTTGTGAAAATTTACTACATCCCCAAAAAATGACATCATTTCGCAGGCCAATGGTCAATTCTTGTTGAAATAACCTCAAATTTTACAGCCTTCTTCAGATCAGGTTGGAATATTTAATGGAAGAGGACTTTATTTGCTTATCTCAATGAGAATAATCTGCCAGAGACGTGAGTCAGAAATGGATGAGATGAAGACAGTTTTCTGATGAAATGGCCCTCGCGAAAGTCCGGATCTGCTTCCCGGATATTGAATTTCACTTTTTTATGGGGATATAATGAACGTTTTTAGTCATTTGCCATGTGCTTCATCAAGGACGTTGCATTGATGAACTCAAGCAAAAAAGGACAATGCAGTGGATAATGTTACCGGAGGCATGCTACAGCGTGTTTGGATAATAGACAGGTCTTTTGACTTGATTTGTTATCGTTTTAATGGATATCTATTGAATCTATGAAATTTTCGGTCACATAATATATTTATGATGTTCAATTACTAAACTGTTCAATTTCATTGAGCTATCTTTTCGGTATGTAGTTTTTCAAGATTTTGCTTTTAAAATGACGTTGGTTTTTTAGACATATGTCAAGATTAGGAAAAACAGGATTCGTTTATTTCACGATATTTGAGATTTTTTCTTGAAGTCGTGATGACAGGTCAGGATCGATTATATTTAAGTTCATTGCGGGACTTTTAATTGTATGCCAATACTGATAAGGAATCAGATATTTTTAACTTCAAATTGAAATTTTTCATCAAAACACCGATCAGAAATCAAATATATTTTATGCTAAAATAATATCATACACCTAGCTACCGGCAAAAGCTTCAAACCGGAAGAATTAAAAAGGTAAGATTCACTCTCCCACGACAATTTAAGAATAAAAGACTGGTATTTGGTTATGCCAATACGTCAAGACAAGCGCATTCCTGTATCATTACACATACACAAGAGACATTTTATATTTTTTTCTCAAGGATCCAAATACGAATATACAATTATGAAGAAAATGCCTGAGAGAGTGAAAGTATATGCTGGCAGGCCAAGCTGTTCAGAAAGTATTACCACCACGAAAACCTATTCTTCCTCGCCTTCAGGGGAGACCAAGTCAAATTTGGCCGCCGGCAGTCGTAATCAACGGTTTAGCCGCACAGAAGTGGTGGAATCCATCAACAACAGCCAAATGAAGACGGTGAGCAGCAACTAACAAAGAAATGCAATTTCTTCTAGGGTAATTAGTGTTTTTTTGTGTAAGCAAATAATGAGGCCAACTGGGAGTGTTTCCAGCAATAATTTCTGACAAGAATGAAAGAAAAGATTCATTAATCATATCTTGAAATTTTTCTATATGCAAAAACTGTTGACATTTAAATTTGACGATTCAAAATTTGAAATTGATTAGTCCAAATTTGTTGACTGTTTTAAAATTGAATTTAACACATCGAGATTTTAAATTAATTAGTCCAAATTAGATTGAGTGTTTTAAATTTGAATTTAACACATCAAGATTTGAAATTGATTAGTCAAAATTATATTGTTTTAAAATTGAATATAACATATCGAGATTTGAAATTGATTAGTCCAAATTGGATTGATAGTTTAAGATTTCAATTTAACACATTGAAATAGGAAAGTTATTAGTCAAATTAGATTGACTGTTTTAAAATTGAATTTAACACATCGAGATTTTAAATTGATTAGTCCAAATTAGATTGACTGTTTTAAAATTGAATTTAACACATCGAGATTTTAAATTGATTAGTCCAAATTAGATTGACTGTTTTAAAATTGAATTTAACACATCGAGATTTTAAATTGATTAGTCCAAATTATATTGACTGTTTTAAAATTGAATTTAACACATCGATATTTTAAATTGATTAGTCCAAATTGGACTGACTGTTTTTTTATTTGAATTTCATTTTTCGCGATATATTGATCAATAGCCACTCAATAAATAAGTGTTTGTGAATTGTGTATTTTGTGTAAATGAAAGACAAACCATAATATAGAATAACCTTCATATGATGTGGAGGAAGGATAGATAATTTCGATTTTTGAATTGATGTGGTGAAGATTCATCAACATGAACAAAACTGTCAACCTGCGTGTTATATATTTTAAAGAAAATTGGGAAATTGAAGAAAAAGGTTAGAACAATTTTGAACACTGGCATAAAGTGTTTAAGAATTTAAATTAGAAGGTTACTCTCAAAATAGTTATGATGTATGAGATGTGATATCAAGGAAAATAAAGTTTAGCAAGTGAACATTATGAGGATAAGAAGCATAGATAAAGATTGAATTTGAGACGAAGAATTTACGATTTTGGTGTTGAGGGTTAATGTCAAACTCTTTAGGGTGAATGACGCGTGTAATATGAAGGAACAAGTAAGTGGTAGAAAGTGAATATTATGATAAGGATAAGGAGGATAGATTATGATTGACAACTGAATTAAAGTTGTTAAGATTGTAGTGTATTGTAGTCAAACTGTATAGGATGAATTAGGTGTGTGGTTTGTAGGGAAAAGAAAGTGGTATTAACTGAACATCAGGGTAGATAACGATTGACCCTTGACTTGAAGATTTTAGGATTGTCGTGTTATATTAAGCACATTTTTTTTTGAGAATTTTTGACATATTCCACTTTAAATTTTGCAAAAACTAGCCAACTTTTGGGCTCCTTGGTTATTTGACATTTTG